AAGAAGTTACTGAAGACAAGCCACAACACCATTCATACTGTTTTTGCTGGTGCATTTATTTCTACATTCATTCTCCAAAGATTAAGTGTGATATCATGGGAACAGACAGCCTTCACCATCCTGAGCTTTACAATAAGGAAGCTGCTTGCCTCAGATGTAATTTTATTAGCTACATTCGTTTAGCCTGAAATTTCAGGCTGCTGGGAACATGCTGGCTGGAGCCTCACAGCACCTGGACTAGAACCTGGCACCGAGAGAGAAGATGCTAACTCCCTTGGAAATAAAGACCACCCTTGACCTCTGCCTGCGGAGTCAGGGAGGTCAGAAGTTACGGGGCTCCTTTCTGCAGGACAGGGTACTACAGTCAGCATTACACAGGTGGTGCATTTGCAAAAGGGCCTCATGCTGGCACTTTGATTATTGCATGAAATGTTTCTTCAATTAATTACATGCATAGAGAAAAGATTTTAGATGCTCCTAGCAATTCCATTAGACAGCTGCACCAATGAAAGATTGTTCTGTAGGACTGAATATGATTGATTGTAGGAGGAGAAATAGCTGTTTTAAAAACCTGGCTTAACTGTTCTTTTGCCTAGACTTTACATTGTTTACAAGAACACAAGATTGTAACTAGCTCATTCTAAAACATGAAAGGACATCTAAAACAGATTTTTGAGATCTAAAACACTCCTCTAATAGATTGGGTGGGATATTCAAAAGCACCCAGCATGTGTCTAAAACTCCGGCTGAAGTCTGTTTTACAATGCCTGAGGGGACTTCAGCCAGTACTGAGGATTTCTGATGACCCCACCCAAACAGCAGCAGTATCACTGAAATGCTAAATGACAATGAAGGGTTCAGTCAACAAGTTCTATGACAACTTCTACAACTACATTTTTCCTTCAGAACAAGTCTATTTTTCGGAGCTACACAACACCCAAACATGTGGGATAGAAGAGCAAACCACCGCCTACTCTACACAGACTGCCCTCTGCATGCTTAGAGGGTGGGTAGGGCTCACTTTTGCATCTACAGTACTGTCCTTCCCCGAATATCTGCGCTGCTTTTCACATGTTGCATCTCTGGACACATGGATGGGAAGGCTTTGACTGGGACAACATATTATCCATTCTGCAAATCCCACAGGGGATTAATTCCATACGCAATATTACTTTTGCCTACATGGCTGGGTTGGAATCACTACAACTGAGCTAGAACATTAAACAATATCCTGTAATCTGGATTTCCTCAAAGTTATCATCCCCCCTGAGGACTCCCAGGCTCTGCTTCACTACGCCACTGGAACAACCCAGGAATCCCTTTCTCCTTCTACTGCCCTTACTTATTTCCTCCCAAACCACATGAGCGATACAGCTTATTTCAGGCAGACATCTATGCAAAACGAACTTGAAGATATTAAATTCAAGTCCTAATTTTACTGGCTATGTCAGAAAATTGTTCCTAAGTGTAAGTAACAGATTACAAAGCTTAAATAACCTGGTATCTCCCTTAAACAGGAGAAATGGGAAGATCCTGAAGAAAAGAGATGCCTCTGAAGAAGACCACAGGAGCTCTGACTAAGCAGAATTCAGTTCTCACCAGTAGCTGGTGATGAATGTTGATGATTTTCGAAGACATTAGAAGGATTTCCACAAATAAAAAGCATACAAGCATAAAACTTGTAAAAAGCACTGGACCTGGACAATTTATCTTAATATAGAGCCCAATGTGGTAGTAAAAATACTGCATATGTAGCCAATAAACAGTTATATATTATCACAAGGACAGAAAACAAGTGTCGAACCAGAAGTATCAGTTTGGACTCTTATCTATTTGGTAATTGGTAATTCTGTTTAAATAAGGCACAAATATTAGCCTTTTTAAAAGATAGTAAGCGGAAAAGATTCTGTAATATTACAGCCTTAAAAATGTACCTACAGTTAAATTCAACACAGATATAAGACCGAGTTATTTTTGAACACATACAAGGTTCAAAACCAAAAGAGACACACTATTTAATGACTGTAAACACTCTATGGGCTTTATAAATAGTAAGGAAAGAATGCGGCATAAGCACAGTAACTAGCATTTTGATGGCAACTGAAATTAAAATAATTCTAGGTTGAATTTTACCTTCCATCTTTTAGCTTAGCTGTTTACTTCTTTTCAGCCTGCATTTTCACTCAATGGAGCAGTGAATTATTACCACAATGCATCGATGTTGAAAGATTCCACTATCAAACTTTCAATTTTACGATCCTTATAATAACTGTAAGAATATTAGCAGCCTCACATGGCTTCCATATTTTTCCCACAAAGGTGAGAATGGGACAATCTATGTGATAATAGGAGTTCAGTGCCTAACTCTCATGTAAAGCCAGTAAGATTTATTCCATCAGAGAGGCATTTCTGAAAATCGTTTTCTGGCAGCATTCCTGGACTTACATGTTTGATGGTTTTGAAAGTAATGATAGCCATAATTTCCTTTTTTTTTTCTATTTTCCCCCTTAAGACATTAAAACTGTTTATTATCGTTAATACATGAAGAAAATAAAACATCATCTTAGATGGAACCGTGGATAGAAACACCATGTCAGATGCAGAGGAAAAGGAAAGGTGAATCTTGAACTTCCTGTCAACAAAATGCAGGGACATGAATGATAACAAGTGAGAAGTGCTACAAAAACACAGACCTTTGTGTTGCCTGTCTTCTCTCAGACACACTTAGCAGCACTACGTTTGGGTAATACTTAGTACCAGCAAAGGAGAAGAATGCCCTCTACCGAGTCATTAATACTACCCCTAAACAAGTATGAATGATGTTGCCCTGCAGCTTTCTCATCTGACCAGCACCTGGTCTGACCCACCTGGAAACGTTACAACTGAGATTTTAAATAATTTTTATGATACTTTTGATTCTAATAGTGCAAAATATTTTGCCAAATAACATTTTTATGTTATTAAAAAAAAATTCCACTTCCAGCTTAAATAACATGTTGATACACAAGAGGAAACCAACGGATAGATAAATAATTTGGAGTACAGACCTCTGGACATACCACCTCTAACTCTGTAATACTGAGATTCTGCAGCAATGCAGATTGCAGATGCCCTCAGGAATGGTCATGCTCTAATCAGACGCAGATATTTCTGTACAATTTGCACTTTTACAACCTTTTGCCTTCATTGTACTGATTAAAAAAGAATTCTGGAGGCTCATCCTCAATGACAAGTACTGGCCCTGCCCTTCTCATTCTGGAACAAGATGAAACGTTTGCATTAAGAAAACCAAGGTCTCACTCTTTGGTAAAGCATCAAACATTGCCTCTGTAATGATATGGATCCCTTCCCTTAGGTCAGCTGCCTTGTAATAAAGCAGCCAAAAAACCTCTTTCAATTTGTGTTAGAAAGAAGGAAAACTCATTCATAAATCTCAATGTGGCAACTGATATTAAACTTTGCAACAAACTACTATTAAGATATTAAAGCGCAATCTGATCCAAATACTGACCTCATGAATGTGCTCACTCAGGCCTATACTGAGACTAAGACTAACCATTCATGCCCAAGAGGGAAAGAAAGAAAAAAGGTTTCTGACATGAGTTTAGAAGAGCAGGAGAGTGTTCTTCTCAGGCACAGTTCATTTTATACCTATGTGTTACTTCTGCCAACTGCATCACAAATATCCTTCAAAGTTGACAATTCCAATCTGCTGAAACTTACTTCATGCCTTTCCTGTCCTGAGCTATTGTGGAGGAAAACATATGTATGGTAAGGTGGATTGGTGGAAAAAGAAGAGGGGAGGAAAATTAAAAAATAAAAAAACCGAAAGAGCTGCTCCATATAGCAGCAAGAATTTCAGACTTTGAATATCCAAATATTCCTCAGAAATTCTGCCAGAAAGAGGACCAGTTCTTGTTCTAAACACAATATACATCAAGTTCTAATTCACTGAATTTAGAAACAGATTTTTGGTTGTTCAACTTGGCTAAAATGAGAGTTGGATAGATGCAGTCTCAAGCTGAATCTGTAACCAGTTTTCTAGTGTTACAAGTAATTTTTAGTCATGACTTTTTAATAATTTAACTAAATATGACTTCTAAGTAACAGTAATTCAATCTACCTTCAAAAAGGTAGCTACTAAAAATAGAAAATAGCTCAGAAGAGGCACAAATTAGTTTTCAAACACTATTAAACTGTAGAAAATAAAAAAATAATAGAAATCTATCAATTCCACTTACACTTTCCTTTCTGAAAATTTTTAGGTGAAATAGTCTACCTAGGGAAACCAGATAATATGTCTTTAAAGTGTCTTAGTTGTAAACAGAAGTTAATAAACGTCACATTATAATTCAGCACTTCATGTACTTCGCAGAAGAGGGAAAAGCATGCGTTACCTTTTCAAAGTCCGGAAGACAGGGCCACAGTTTTAGTTTGGAGTAAGTTCCAAGTTATGTTCACAAGAAATTCCTTAATCTAAAAAAAGTTTCCTTCCCCCCACCCCCCGCATTGCTGAAGCAAATTCTTGCCATGGAAAATCATTATTGCTGTTTTGTAGATTTGCATTCATCTTCTAAGATAGTTAAACCTCTTCTCAAAAGATTAAGGCAATTATTATTCATTACAAATATTAATATTTGTCCATTTCAGACAAATCAGATTTCTCGGTTCATTTCATGCTTAATGGGATTAATATAGTACCTTCAAAACCTGGTTACCTGTTAGGTGATACCTTTCCTGCTGCTTAGACAAAGCAAATGCTAGGAAGCACCATACACCTGCTGTATTTTTAACACAGAGACTAACTAGTACCTGATTTAAGAGTGCATTCATATATTTAGTTCCATTTTGTGGACCTAACTACAGCCAGCAAATGACCTGGGTAAACACAGAAGCGGATGTCCCAATGGCAGAAAATGCATACTCAACTGAAAAGAATTATGTTTATAATCGAAGATCTCTTATTCCTTTTTCATCTTTTGGTTATCATGTTATATGGAGTTATATGGAGTCCTGAGTAGTCTCCCTTTAACTTCTGATGGGAGTCAAGTTTCTCTTCTCATAGTTTTCTTACGTTTTATTTCCACTGCTACTGCTGGATAAGCTATCCTTTGAAATATTTAAACCATAGTGAAAAGCAGAACTCAGTTTACATAATGACACCACTTCTTGAAGGAGCCCACCCTCTTCTGGAGTTTCATTTCCTTCCTTCCCATCTTTCTGCCAAGGGACCAGAATGGATGGATGTTGAGCAAGACTTGCTGGGAGCTGATCTTCTGAGGTATTGCTTAGTGTTTCATTCTGCTTTGCATACTTATAGGAAGAATAGCCTGCTTTGAAACCTTCTAGAGAAGCAAACTGGGCACTTGATTGTACTGGAGATGGGGATGTCATACTAATGGTGTCCATCTTGTCAGTAACAAAGGTTTGGTCACTACTTTCTTCTTCCAGCCTTGAGAGAGATTCTCTATGGCCACCAGAAGAAACTTGCTTCCTGGGTGATGGAGGGAGCTGCTTCCCATGGAGGACACTGTCGTCCTGACCGAGGTTCCACTCTGCTTGATCATTAGCACTGCTGCAGAGCACAGTAAGATTGCACTCACTAGGTGCGTTCGACTTGTTCTAAAAGAAAGAACAATTGTTTATAGTTAATGTCACAAGAAATGTCTCTACACTGGCATCTTTGAAACAAAAATACTGTAATAGATTTTGTGTGTTCCTAAATTATGGATCCCCTTTGGGGTTCACCGTTACAAAACAACAATCCCGGAAACAATGTAAGATCAAGTGCTTTTACACTTCCTCGCCAGAACATTCTGTCTCTTGTCCTAAGGATTACCTTTTGTACAGTGGAAGGATTTCTGTCTCCCCTGTCCATTCAGTTTTTGCACAAGCAGTTTTGACAGTGAACAAAGACACACTTTGCTGGTTTGTACCCATAATATGAGAAGGAACTGGACTAAAACTAAAACCAGATGGCATTTCCTCTTTGCTTCAAGTAATTAATTATACCAACTTTCAATATTAAATTTTTTTGGCCAAACAAACAAAAATGGGCATTTTATTAATGTGACCGGTGTGTGACACTCATAATATAAAATTTTACAAGCTTTTTAAACATTTGCAGCAGAATTTGCTGTTCCAGTAATGAATCTTCTACTATAGGATCCCTTTCAGCAAAAGTAAATGTTGAACAGCTGATATGAGCTGGGATTCAAAAACACTAACATTTTTTTGGCTAACATCACAGCAGTGACTTGGTGAGGGTTTAAAGGTTGTAGGCAAGCAGTTTGTTTACACTACAGGTCCTGTGCAACTCTACCTAAAAAAGGATCAAGGAGCCATCTTAGAAAGCTCTGGTGTACTATTCTAGCAGTGTTTCAGGTGCAATTAACACATGGATCCCATGACTTAAGGTGGAAACACCACCATATCACTATGACTAGTTTAAGGATGTAAGGTGAAAATAGAAATAAAGACCTTCTAAACCACATGAAAAAAAGAGAGACTAAAACCAGCTATGGGAATACCAGATTGAACAGCTAAATATATTATTAAACTGTTTGATTAAGTAAATTATTACATTATTCACAGCTCTATATGTGGTTACCATTATAAGGGAAAAATACTGTTCCAAGATGACTTGGTATACTGGACAAAGGTGTAACCAATCTCTTTGCTGGTGAAAAACCATCATGCAGTGGCCAGCATGGGTGTACTGTTACATAGCCCTAGGAAGACACACTAGCAATTCTAAGGACTATGCTGCAGTGTCTGAGCTGCACATTGTTGATTCCACAAGTGCAGGATTCCACTACAAAGGGATTGGAGGTTTTTTTCAAATGAAAGCAGAAGACTAACCGCAGTCTTGTAATCAATGTCATCCATTGACCTAAAGAAATCCAGGCTCTTTGCTCCTGAGAGCTTTCCTTGATCTGAACTGTGTGTGCTCAGCGTGTCCAAAATCTCCCCAAGCAAGTCCATTTCTCCTTGATGCTGAGGAATTATTCCAGTTTCACCAGAATCATCACTATCATAAAAGTATGCAGAAGCTTCTTCACTGTCTTCTGATGATAACCTGAAAACAAAAACTTTTCCATCAGCTAGGAACACGAAAGCCATTTTTTTTACAGCCAGTTCTGAAAGTAAGTAGGAGAATGTGTTCCAAGACTTTTTTAAAGGGAACATAAACCCAGAACGTCTTTCTACTGAAGAATTTTCCTAAACATAGATGTATGATATCTGTGGAGATGCAGTTACCAATAGCTGGTTTTCCTGTCTCCTGGCTCTTCCCCAACCACTATAACTGTTATTTCAAGTCACCCTTAATATGACTTCCCAAATCTTCCCTCCAAATTTTACAGCTATTCCAAAACTGGTTCCCCTTTTGCCTTACGTACACCTCATATTTAGGTCAGTGTTGCTACACTTCTCCAGCTGACCTAGCCTCATAATTTGTTCTAGTGATGAGACTCTCACACTGCAACTCTTCTTCTGTCATATGGCCAGATTTACTGGAATACTGCCTATCTGCAAGGAGAACTGGTGATTTTGTCTCTTATTTTCTCTTTCATTCATTGCAATACCCTTACCTCTGACCCCCACACTACTGCAGTCTTTCCATATCTCTGTCTATCCATACTACAAAGGGTATTTCCGTGGCTCACTGTTTTGATGATAACCTTTGAACACTTCAGTAGCTCCTTCTTCCCTACTGCATCATGGCTTAAGCTGCTTGACTTCGTTTTCAAGGTCCTTCATGGTTTATATCCATATGTTCATTATCAAAAATCATCTCCTGAATTCAATCAGAGAATGCACCAATGCAGCTTAAGCCTCAACTTATGATTTTCCTTTAATTCACATAGGAAGACCTTGATATAAAACTCACAAGTCAGTATTTCTCTCTTTCAGATCCTTCAGAAAACTTTCCATTGACATGACCACAACACAAGACTTAAAGAATAGATTAGCTGAGGTCACTGCCCGCCATGTTGACGAGTATTATTTCGTTGCTTCTTTGTGTATGTAGTCTATCTTTTTATCTTGAGCCTGTGAAGACTGAGGATTATGTCAAGTTCTTCTAGGCACTATAAATAACAAAAAGATATAATAGCCATTCCCTCTTTTTAAAAGCAGATTTAATCCTAAACTACTTGACACCATCTAGTTCAAGAAGCAAGCTAGCAGCCTGGACAGGAGAAAAATGCGTCACTTGAATTCAGCTGTGCTAAATAACACTAGTTACCCTTTCTCCCATACATACATACACATCCAAACAGGCTTCTTACTTGCTTGTTCTCTCCACTTCATCATCATTGTCTTCATCAAAGGCAAAATCATGGTTACTGAGATGCTGGTTGAAACGAGTCTGGAGGATAAAAAATTAACACTATAATTTTTGTTTATTTTTTCTATTTCAGCATTACTTATTTGGAGACTAGCTACCACTTTACTTACTAAGACTTCCTGAGCAGTTGATGAGGAAAACCACTTATCGATCAAGTCTTCTAAAAGTTGTTATAAGAGGATGTAAAATCCTCAAGCATCACCAATTAAAGAGCAAGAGAACCATTTTTCTTGGTCTGTGGAGTGCCTTATTATTTATGCAAAGCCTTGATTAGCAGAAGACTGGCTATTGGAGGAAAAGCACCACTCAAGTGTACTACCTACCCTTTCTTGCAAGTATATCACAAAAAGCACTGTGGAATACTACTTTCTGACAGAAATATTTGCCAAGTTTTGGTTGATGTGGTCTACTGAGCATGAAGAAAAATGGATTTTTGAAGCAGCAAATACAAAAGAAGTCAGGAGTCTCTTTACATAGCTGTATTTATGTTAGGGTGTTAAACAGAATTGCAGAGTAACTAGTATGCCAGCTCAAAAACTGTGCACTAAGAATGCCTTTGTGCAGGACAATTTACTGTAAATTACAGTTAACTCAAAGTTAGTGTATACTCAGAGCATTCCATGGGGAGCTTGTGTAGAGCAGCTGGTGTGCCGTAAATTCATATACTACTATACTGAGTACTCATTAACTTGGTATATCACATTACTACTTAGCAAACAGAACCAGGCTAAAGATTTCTACGACACTTGGAAAAGTCTATCTTCATAGAATCATAGAATGGTTTCGGTTGCAAGGGACCTTAAAGATAATCTAGTTCCAACCCCACTGCCGTAGGCAGGGACACCTTCCACTAGACCAGGTTGCTCAAAGTCCCATCCAACCTGGCCTTGAACACTTCCAGGGATGGGGCATCCACAACTTCTCTGGGCAACCTGTTCCAGTGTCTCACCGCCCTCATAGTGAAGAATCTCTTCCTTATATCTAATCTTTCAGTTTAAAGCTATTGCCCCTTGTCCTATCACTACATGCCCTTGTAAAAAGTCCCTCTCCAGCTTTCTTGTAGGCTCCCTTCAGGTACTGGAAGGCTGCTATAAGGTCTCCCCGGAGTGTTCTCCAGGCCGAACAACCCCAACTCTCTCAGTCTGTCTTCATAGGAGAGGTGCTCCAGCCCTCTGATCATCTTCGTGGCGCTCCCCTGGACTTGCTCCAACAGGTCCACATCCTTCTTATGTTGGGGGCCCCAGAGCTGAACACAGTATTCCAGGTGGGGTCTCATGAGAGCAGAGTAGAGGGGGAGAATCACCTCCCTCAACCTGCTGGTCACGCTTCTTTTGATGCAGCCCAGGATACAGTTGGCTTTCTCGGCTGCAAGCGCACATTGCCAGGTCGTGCTGAGCTTTTCATCAATCAACACCTCCAAGTCCTTCTCCTCAGGTCTGCTCTCAATTCATTCTCTGCTCGGCCTGTATTTGTGCTTGGGATAGCCCCAGCCCATGTGCAGGACCTTGCACTTGGCCTTGTTGAACCTCATGAAGTTCGCAAAGGCCCACCTCTCAAGCCTGTCAAGGTCCCTCTGGATGGCATCCCTTCCCTCCAGCGTGTTGACTGCACCACACAGCTTGGTGTCATCGGCAAACTTGCTGAGGGTGCACTCAATCCCACTGTCCATGTTGCCGACAAATCTTATGTGTCTCCAATTTAGAGACAAGATGTCATACAGGACTGTGTCAAATGCCTTGCACAACTCCAGGTACTTTTAAGTCAGGAATTTTAGTCACTTGTGCTTCACAAATGACTGTCTTAAGGTCTGTGCATCTCTTGCTGTGTGTCAAAAACCTGCAAAGATTAACTATGCAGGCAATCAATCCACTGAAGAGATTCTGAACCTTGGAAAACTGGCCATAATTTAAAGACATATGGATAGAATTTGTGCAAAGGGAAAAACAGAGTTAGCTAACTTTAAAGAAAATCATATGCAAGTAAAAAGAAGTGCTACTGCCCACATCTCATCATGCAGTTCATCAAATGCCTAAACCTACAACAAGCCCCTGAAGGGGAAGAAATATGGCCTCAATTTCAGACTACAAGGAGCTTGGAAATCTTGTACTGTGAGGATTTCAGTACGTCACCTATTACAGATGTTGTCAGTGTTCTACATGTACAGGACACTCTCCCTAACTCCCCCCCCGCCTTATTGTCAGGAACATCTCAGTGTTCACTCTTTATAGACTGACATACTTGTTCTTGTTCAACAAGAGAGGATTTAATTAAGGCAGCAAGTTTTGATAACGCTTTCCATAGGTCTTCATCTACAAAGAGGAAACGTGGTTCTTAATGTGTTAAACCAAGTAACAGTTTATAGAAAATGACAAATTATTAGAGTATTAAAAACTATGAAAGAACCCAAACAAAGCTTCATACTGAGCAAAAGTTACAGCATGGAATGCAGAGAAACAAACTATTGATACTTCTAACTCCTTCCCAGTTTTGTGAGTTCTTTGTGTCATTCCCATCAGTGTTGTAATTAATCATATCCCTACTTGTAACTAAAGAGAGGTTAACCAATCTGTCTTAATTGATATTGTTAATTGGTTATCATACTGATATATCACTGATTATCTGTACTGCTAAACTCACTGATTATTGCCACAGCTACAGTCACTGTTTTCAGTTTAAAAGTTGCTGCTTTAAGTATTTATCTTCACTGGGACAATTAAAATACTTTGTTTCTGTAACACTAGTAATTCACTACTAATTAAAGTTCTACTCCTGGAACTGAATCCTGGAGGGCAAAACCCTGTCTCTGTCTCACTTTCTTGGAATTTGCATCAGAATTAGATGCTGCCATCACATTTACTTCTACTAACGTAAAGACAAGATTTTGCAGGAAAGAAGGTTCTTTAAAAGTGTTGAGATATTTCAGAAAACAAAACCAAAACCAACACTTGTTCATCTGTGGACGGACTAACTCTGTCAATGGAATAAAATTCCACAAGATACTACTCACTGATTTATCGAAATAATAAATAATGTTTCAAAGAGCATAGATGGCAAGTTTCAAAAGATAAAAACTGCGAAAACTTAGGGAAA